GCAGGAAGAGCTGCGGGAGAACTCTGGCAAAGTCCAGCACTAGTAGAGATGGATTTTGCCATGAGAAATGAGGCTCTTTGGGTGTGCATCGCAGAGGCAGGTTCCCACCAAGGCACACCAGGCAGCGGGGTGCAGTGAGAATGCTGTGCGTGAAGTTGGGAGCCCCAAGCCTGGCGCTGCTTCTGCTACCACAAAGCTGTCTGACCTTGGGACTGTCCTGACCCTCAGCCTTCTGATGTGTACAGTGGGAGGACAGGAAGACAAGGCCTTTCGCTGCAGATGCTCTTCCATTCCTTGAACTCAAAGATAAATGTCTGTATCTTTGTTTTCTTTTTAAAGCTTTTTTTTTTTTTCTCTGTTGGACTCATGGGCTCCCTAGAGAGGAGAGAAACAGAGAGAGAGAGAAAGAGAGAAATCACCCCCCAGAGGGGAAGGCCATCCTCAATTCCTTCTCCTCTCTCTTCCTCTTGGCATTTTGGGCACACATACACACTCACCTGGTGTGATTTTTAAGCCCCTGGGTCCAGGACTCTCTGTGGTAGGCTATGTGAGACTCTAGCTGCCTTAACCAACTTGTTCCCATATTGAAATCCAAAGCTTTTGCATGCATTCCAGAGACCTCTACTATGGCCTACATTTTATTTTTTCTATGTTACCCCTGCCTCATTCCAGTTACACAGAGAAACTTGGTATTTTCCAAATATACAGTGCTCTGTTCCATGTCTCCTGTTCTCTTTCTGGCCTTTCTTCTGTCTCAGTTGCACTTTTCCTGTCACTAACAACAAAAAATAAAAATACAAAACTACTTATTACTAAGAGTGCTCCCCAAGGTAGTCTTTGCTCTGAAACCAACCTTGATTCCCTCCACTCTGCCCCTGCCTCCTATTGCTTCCTAATAATTTTGTCCTCCTGTCTACCACAGCTCTTATTAAGTCTGGCTTGCATCACAGTCTTATGGCTGCTACTATTGGCCAGTGTCCTCAGCACTTAGCCAGTCTGACATAAAGCCCCCTGATTGAATTGCTTTTTGGGAAAAAGACAAGTTCTGTAACTGTGGTTTCAGGCTCCCAGGTCCTTCAGATGTCCTGCCTGCCTCTGAACAGTTGCTTTCTTTCACACAGGAGTCCCGGTCAATAATTAATACCTGAAGGATAAGCTATCAGAAGAGCACGTGGCCAACCCCTTGGGTAAGGGATGAAAGGCACTAACTAAAGCCTGCTCTAGAGGAGAATGGGGGTGGGACAGGGGAGATTGGGAAGGTTCTCCTAAAATGGGTGAGAGAGAGAGACCACCAAACAATCCAGACTGAGAGGCAATTAGACCTTCTGTAATTAGGATCCAGAAATAACCAAATCTCTATCTTAGACACCCTGGGAAATATCCAATTTCCACTCAGGGCTGGCAGGTGGGGTGGGAAAGGACATATGGAGAATGAGCCCTGTCCTTGGGACTGAGGAAAACTGATAGTCTTGGGAGGCTAGGAGGGTGATGCCAGGGAAGGTGGAGGCCCTGTCTGTGTGTTCTGGAGACGGGGCTATTGACTATACCTGGTGGGGTCACAGGCACGTCAGGGCCATCCTCTGGAAAAGTAGAACTTGTGCCTGATTGGCCTCAACCAGAGTCTCACATGTCAGAACCACTTTTTCTCCCAGTTCATGTTGTCCTGTATGTGTGTGGTGGTGGTGGTGGGGGGAAGGTGGAGAATGTTACCAAGGAGATGCAACCAGACACCTCTGGTTTGTCAGGTTTTATTTATTTATTTATTTTTGTAAATGTTGGAATACCCCTCGCCTCTCAGTCCCCTCTATTTTGGAAGGAAATGGACAGAAAGAAGTGGGAAGCCTTATAAAAGGGGAATAATTAACAAGAATGATAACATATATGGATGGCCTTAAAAGCTTTTTGCTCTTTTATAGTTGGTTTATCATATAAGGCAAAATGATGTGTTGTGGGCAAAAGGTTGAAATTGGGAGACAATTGAATAATGTTTCACTGAGGAAGGGATTTCTCAGTCAAGGCCCATAAATACATAGCTTTGAGTTGGGATTGCAAGGTCACACTGTTGGTCTCCCAAAAACAACCCCCATGGGGGATGGTCACACCGCAATCCCTTCTCCTCCATTTCTTCTTCCTTTTGTGATTTTGGACACACGTGCACACACGTGTTTTCCAAGCTGCTGGGTCCAGGACTTGAGTTGTGCATTCAGCCAGTGGGATCCGGCAGCCTTAACCCCTATACCCTGGGCTGGTCCCTAAAAGACTCTTTAGCTTCATAGCATCATAAACTCTCCCAAGTTATTGCAATCCAGAGGGATCTTTGTCTCCATGCATTGGCTCTAGTGCCTCACTCCTGAGGAAGAGCCAGGCAAACTGTAGACTAGAGGGGCGAGTGCATGAACTGAGAGAACGTGGGGGGATGGCTGTCCCACAGCTTGTCTCTAAGGGGGCTCCCTGGATCCCAGAGCCATTGGATGTAGGGTATTCTAATTTTCCCAGCTGCCTTTGACTTTAGGAGGATCTCGGAGATTCACTTTTAGGTTCTCTGTGGAGGGGCAAAAAGGAACCCCCCTTGAAATTCCCACCCCAGCTTGGGAGCAGGCCAGTTACTGACATGGCTTCATCATGTGAATGTGGTCTTGGAGACTACCTGGAACACTCAAGCTTGTTCACCCTCACAGCTCCCAAGAATTCAGACAGAGGACCTGGGAATCCCAACCATGCTCGATGACTAAGAGGTTGATGTTGTTAAAGAATATTGAAAATGCCTCCGTATTCCTGCTTGGTTCCTATAGACAAACTGTGATCTCATTTATTATAGATAAGTCTGCTTTTCTTTTTGCCTTCTTTTTGTTAGGTTACAACCAATCACAGCAGCTAGGCTTCAGTCAACCACAGGCATTCCGCCCTTTAAACCGTGTTAATGTATGCAAACTTTGGAATATAACCAACATTCCTTCACTTCATTTTTGTACATCACTTTCCCGTTCTTGTGCACCTCACTTTCCTTTTCGGGAACTTAAATATTGTGTGACCGCAAGGCTAACCAGAGTTGCTTGGAAGTTGGTCCAGCAAAGTGCCTGATTTAAATGCTGTTAAGA